CTGCACTTGTTTCTTGAAAAATAAATGCACCAGAAACCCCTTCCCGGCAGAAGTACCACCCAAGTGTTCAAGACACAGTTTCAATTTGAAGATCATCATTGCTTAAACCAACAGTACCTTGGCCATTTATCGGCCGCGGGGGACATGACGTAAACGCGCCTTGACTTTCGGGGACCCGCGGCCGTTGATAAATCTCATCAACGGCCTTTGTCGTGTGTGGGCCTCCGAGAGTTCTGGTGAGGATCCCGCGGCCGATATATGGTGGAGGAGCGGTGGTTTAATTCCAAGTCTCTATTTAGCAGAGTGTTTGCTAGGAAATTAATGATAGTCAGTACGCTGTGTACCACCAACGCTGGTGAATGGCAATGGCCAAGAGACCAAAGTGAAGAAAAGGAATAGTGATACAAAAGTAAGGAGGATTAGCCATTAACACATAAATAGGTTCAACTTGGGACAATGTAGCAAGAAAAACACATTAAAAAAAAAAAAAAAAAAAAAAAAAAAACACATAAAAAGGTTGGGAAACTTTGAAGAGGGGCAAAAGACTAGTGAAGATTCACTGAAGAAGCAAAGAGAGAGAATGAGCCAAAGGAAGGGAGAAAAGGAGGGAGAGAGGGAACAGGGGATTAAACCACCAGTACCATTCTCATATATCGGCCACGGGAAAAAGAATAGAGTAGAAGTGTTTCTAGTCGGATGAATTTGGGCGTTCCCGTAGAGCCCCGTTCGTTCATCATTGTCACGGCTTGTTAAGCGCCCCGCCTTTCAGAGGTAATGGTGGTTTAAACGATGAATGGAGGAGGGGATGGGATGGAGGGAGATTGGGAGGTAAGGGAAGAAACTTCGAGGAAAGAAAGAGGAGGGAGAGGAGGGGAAGGGAAGAAAAGGAGGGAAGGAGGGACGAACCGAGAGGTGAATGGAGGGAGAGATGGATGAAAGGAGGGAGGGAGGAAAGAAGGAAAGGTCATGATTTATTCTGAAACATGATGATCTTTTCCGGTTATTTATTTGCTTTGGAGTCCAGCTCAAGCCTATTAACCTGGAGGGGCGGACACCCAGCCCGTGTCACTGAATGGTGCAACTGTGTAGCACAGCGAACATGTTTGGGGGTTTCGTCAACACCCGAACATGTTCTGCCCCCGAACAGGGTGCTACACTGTGGTACACAAAGAGCAAAAAAAAGAAAAGGAATCGTACACAAACTTCACAAAGGTATTAACTACTATTAAGTGTTACTGAAGAATAATGCTGGGGGCTACCCGCTTCAGAATTTCATTTTCTTTCCTTTTTGCAACTTTGGGCCCTATGTGGCCGGAGAGGCCGGGGTCTCAGCGGCTGGATGACTGTGGTTGGGGGTGGGACTGGCCGGGAGTGCCTTTCTCAGCCCCGTGTGGCCGCAGCATTCATGTGAGGGACGCCGGGCCCGCTTCCCGGTTTTAATTGAACCTTAAGTTGTTTTCTTTATAAAAAAAAAGAAGGGTTCAGAGCGAAAACCACAGAGGAGGATGCTCCACTCACTTTCGAACTCCTAAGCTTATTTATTGGTCTGATAAGCACTCCTTTTTACGATTATTTGTATATATTTTTAGATTCTCCAATTGTGGATCATAATGAAACAAGTTTTTTTCAAATACTATTAAATTTAAGCTCAATTGGAGTTGCATTGATTGGTATTGTTATTGCTTATTCCATCTACGTAGAATTTGGTTAACTATAACTCTACAAGCTCCCTTAATAATAAAATTCCCTCTGGCCGTCATTATTGGAATGTTGCCGATTAGTATTAGTTCACTTACGTGCATCAACTCGCGAGAAACGCCAGTGAGCACCTGCCAGTAACCTGCAGTCAATCACACCACATAGACCACAAAAAAAGAGGAAGTCAAGAATAACTTATCAGCAGCCCCATGGAATAGATTGGAGCTTGTTGGGAACAAAATAAACACATCACCAAACTTCTGCTTTGTTTCCCACTTGATCAAAAAGGGAAAAAAAAAAAAAAAAGCTGATGACTTGAGAAGAGAGGTAAACGGCAGGAAAGTTTGGGCCGAATCTCAGTCAAGAAGAGTCATGGCAGAAAAGGATGGACAGAAGGTAATCCCTGAAGTGTCGAGAAGAGGGAGACATGAGACCATGGTGTTCTCTTATTCTACGGGCAGGTGCAGATTCATTTCTTAAATATGGTGGGCACGCTGGGGGGGTGCAGGGCTGCCGGGAGCGCTCCGCCTCGCTCGCATGAGCCGGCCTAACCAGCGCTGGGCGCGAAGCAACATAGAGAACGGAGGTTGATGGCAGCGCTCGGGGAGTTGCACGCGGTGAGGTTGGCGCGTCACAACGGCTGAAGGGAAGCCTTTGGGTTTGGTGGGAGGTGCATGAGGTTCATGGCGACGCCTTTGGAGGATTTACTTGTATACGTTCTTGGTGCTATCGTCCTTGGCTAGGACAGATGGTGGTTGTGCTGTGAGTGTTTGTTGCTTCCCTTCATCCGGAGCGATGCCATGTGGTGGTTGGTCCGCGAGTGCGACGGGAGCGCCAGTTGAAACTCTTGTTTTTTTCTGCATGTTGCTATAGCGGGAGATCTTTGACATCGCCATAAGTAGGAAGAACAACGCGAGTGGGGGATCACGAAGATGAGGAAGCGTCTTATGATCAGCATCATTTAGCTGATCCCGTGTGTGGATGGGGTGGGGTGGAGGCTGGGATGGGATGGACTGGATTGTGGTCTGGAACAGTAAGTTGTTTCTCTCTGGTTCACCCTTTCTCATCCCTTCCCCTGTTGTGTTATGTTCTTATCTGTCCTCAGTTGCTTGTCTTTCTGTGTCGACTTAATCACTGCCTTCTATCTTGCCAGAGCGGAACTCGTGCTAGTTGTTGTCGGCAGGCTCGGCGCTAGCTATCGCAACGAGCCTTGGGCTTGGCCTGGTGGCCTTCTCCTTCCGACGAGAGAGGGGAGGCTCTCCCTTAAGGTGTGGCGGGTAAGTTTCGTGGTGGGAGGGGAGGGGTAATGGAGATGGGTGGAGTGCAGTTTGCGGAAGACGGGTGTTTCTCGTATAATGGTAGTTCGTAATTCTAATTTCTAGTTCCGTATGCCCTTTTTCTTGATGTTATGTCGACGAATCTCTTGCCTACGATTGACTTTGACTTCTTAGGTTGGAACTTCTGAACCTGGTTCTAAGATTACTTCCTTGAGAGTAAGTACACTCGTGATCGGTTCTGCATTGTTCTTGTGATCGAATTCGTTACGATTAAATTTTCCCAATTTTATTTCCTTATTTGAATTCATTTAATGAGCTTCTTGATACTGATATTCATAAATGTGAATCCAAATTCTGATGTCTAACGTTTTGATTCCGATCTGTGGCTCTAACCTAGTTTCAAACTTCGTTTGCATGACTCATGAATAATTCTTAAACTCTGTTTACTCAAATGTGAAATTCATACTTCGGATTTGTAGTTGGAAATCCGTGATTTGCTTTTTTCTTGATCTATCTTTACCTATCTTCACCTAAGAAGAATGCAGTTACGCTGCTACTCCTTGTGGACCCTGTGAACCCATCTTCTACGGCTCTTCATCTTGCGAACAATGTGGTGGAGGAGGTCGGCTCGTCGCCAGAAGAAGAACTTCAAGAGCAAAGGGAGTTTGCAGGGAGGCCGGACGGCTGCTTGGGCAACGGGTATAGGTGGCGAGAACAAGTCAGCTATGATTGATGTTGGCTAGGTTGACCTAGTTCTTACCTAGGCTACCAGAGTGGCCCGGGTCTATTTGCGCGGCCACGCCAAAAAGAAAAAAATATATATATATATATATTTATTTTTATTTTATTTTTTTTGGTAAAGAATTTCGATGTGACCCTGAGGCAAAAGTTGTTCAGTTCATTTTTGTGCATAACACAGTATTTTTTTCGTATTTTTTGGATTTTTTGTTTTTTTTGGCTGGGACCTTCCCTAGTCCTTGCATGGCCGAGCCGGCTGGGAAAATAAGGTGACCCGGGCGGCCCAGCTGGTAGCCTAGGTTCTTACTAAGTTTTCCTGAAGTTCTTTAATAGTTTTATAATTGTTCGTAGGGGTGAGTGGGAGAAGTAGATGGCAGGATATCACGCGTCCTACTAGTGAGGGGGCTAGCTGGTAGGATGGGAATAGCGTACAGCAGCAGCGGAGATGGGGGCTCTGTTGCAGTAAGTCTTGCCGGAGTGGGGTGAAGGGCATTGATGGGGGGGTTCCTGAGTAGTTCCTGAGTAGTTTTATGTCTTTGTATCTCAGATGCCTGCGTTTTTTTTTTTTTTTTTTTCACAAGCCGATCGGCTGCTAGGGGTGCTGATAAGAGCAGACACCGCTAGCACTGTCGGGGAGGCTCCATCTATTGGTGGGGAGCATCACCTGCTGGAAATCGGGTCTAGCATCCCTGTAGAGTACAATGTAAGAAATGAAAGCTATGAAATGAAAGAAATGCAAGTATGCGTTGCAAGTATGGTTGAGGGGCCAGGTGACAAAGGGCCCATCCCTCCTTCAGATCTGTTCTAAATGTAGACTTCAGCGAGCTGTCGCTCATAGTGTTATTATTATGGCCCAGTATTGTTATTGCAACCTGTTAACTATCGAATACTATCCATTACTATTTATGTACTCGATGCCATATGCTGATGTGTCTATGCCTGTATATGTTCTATAGGGTGTTGACACATGCTGTGTATAGGTGGTGGCGTTGTCACATGTGTTTTTTGTTCCGTATCACGAAGTGTTGTGTATAATGTGGTTGAGAGTGTTCCTGAGTGTGTTCCTATGATACATGCATGTGTGTTTGTTAGTCCATTTGTCAGTGGGTGAATTCTAACCAACCCAATTATGCTCCCAATACGCCCAAGTGTTACAGCAGGTCTCCTAAACCTTCAACCCTTCAACCCTTGAGTCCTGTTGACTGTCATCCCACCTATTGCCTGCTGCTATCTGGTCTGCATTCTTATGGGGTGCTGCAACAATATGAGATTGGATGTCAGCTTAGCTGTGTGGCGCTGTCATTCCTCCACCCTGTTGCCTCCGTCTCAAAACCCGTCTGAACCTTCCCTCCCAGTCTCCCAGTATTATTCAAGTGTTCTGCGACTGCGGAGGGTATAGCCCTGGTCCTCATGCTCACGAATGGTTTCGATCAGAGTTATCTTATTGGCGACAAGGGAGCGTTCGGGGAAGTGTATTGGGGTTCGCTGGGAGGAACTCAGGTGGCAATCAAGGTAATGCACGGGGAGCTGACGGCTGTGAAGCGCAGGCAGTTCGTCATTGAGGTAAATACTCTCAGCCGTGTTCACCACGCCAACCTCATCCAGCTCATCGGATACTGCGACGAGGGGAAACGGTGCATCCTGGTCTACCCTTATTTCGCAGGCGGGAGCTTGCACTCACGATTACACAAGAGGGTGGGTGTGCGCGGAGCAGCGCCCCCGCCGCCGCTGACGGTGTCACAGCGAATGTCGATCATTTTGCAGATCGCAGAAGGGCTTCGGTATTTGCATTGCGGCGCCAATCCGAGAGTCATTCATCGGGACGTGAAGAGCAGCAACGTCCTCCTCAGCGATGGTGGTGACGGCAGCTTGCAAGTCGTGCTCGCTGATTTCGGCACGGCAGCCATCGCCCAGAACGTCTTCGAGACGGGGCACGAGAGCATGGTGAAGACGTGTCAGCTGGCGGGGACACGTGGCTACATCGCACCCGAGTACGTGCTGAGAGGGCGGCTGACGGCCAAGAACGACATGTTCGCTTTCGGAGTCGTCGTGTTGGAGTTGATGACCGGAAAACCGGCGATTCTGCGCCAATCCCTGGTTGATGACGACTTTCAAGCGCTCGCGGAATGGGTAAGAGGATTTTCCCAGCGTCCAAACATGTATGCCATTCTCGGCACGATCGTCGACCCGTGCTTGAGGAGTGTAGTGGAGACGAACGTCGTCGTCAGGAATATGGTGATGGATGTGGTTAATCTCGGGATGGCCTGCTCCCAAGAGGAAGACGAGCAAAGGCCGATCATGAGCTCGGTGTGCGACAGGCTTACGGTTATCCTGTCGGAAGCAAAAGGGCGGGGTATATAAGAGTGACGTCGTCCATGGCAGAGTGGACGAGTATCTGGAAATGGCGGCGAGGTTGCCAGTCGGCGAAAGCTGGGGGCGGGAGGGAAGGGAGGGAGGGGGTGGGGAGCTGGGGTGGAGAGGCGGCCGGATTGCGAACGACGGAGAAGGATGAGCTTAGAAATTCTCGAGGCCTTAATCCTGGACAGAGTGCCTACTCCAGAGTTGTCAAATCACTCGACAGACGATACTCAAGTATAGTGAGGGAAGACTGATGATGTCGTTCGTTATCAATCAAGGCGCACAAAGATGTCTCTTGCGCTCACGTGGCAGTGGCTTTGAGAGGGAGAATAGCGCAAGTGGGCTACGGAAAGCCCAGTCTTGAGCTCATCAGCACTACTGCGCCATGGGATCGTGTATGCATTCGCAGCGGTGGCATGCAGCAGAAAAGAGATGAGGGCCAGATAGGGAGGAACAAAGGGGTTGACTGTGCTTGGGGGAGACGAGTGACAATTGAAGGGTTGTTCATTTTGTGTGTTTGTGTGTGTGTGTGTGTGTGTGTGTGTGTGT